ATTCTAAACAACTTTTTAACTCGTGTGATTTTAATTTCTATCATAATTGAAACTTGCGATCAAACCATTTTTTAGTAATTTCAATGGCAACAAAAGATGAAGCATTAACAGGTCCAGCACGTAATATACATGCACCAAATCCTTTAAAGAAACCTTTAATTCCTTCTTTGGCGAAAGTTTGTTTTGCACAATCCAATGAGCTTGAATATTTTCTCTTGTCTTTTGAAAATTCATCTGTTTGTATTTTACTCTTTATAACATCTATTGGGTAGCATAAACCCCATAATCCGTATCCTTAGAAAAGTAATTATATTAAAAAATGTAGCGTTACCGCAAAGTTTTAACGCATAACAAGACAAACCTGCAGCAGCCCCGTATAAACAATGTTTCCAACTAGGCAATTCATCCCTTTTTTTTTGTTCTTTAAACATGGCGCGATACATCAAGTATTCGTATATTAGAAAATAACAACCACATCCATGAAGTTCACGGGCCATTGTTATGAACTGTCCCTTATAAATTCCTTTAATGTGATATTTAGAGTAAATTTTTTTGATACAATCGATTGGTCCATTATAAAGTTCATTATTACGTTGCACTTGGAGTCCTAAACAAACGAACGATAATTAGATTTAATAAATTTTTTTAAGGTTTATAATTCACACTTAATATATAAAAAAAAAATTTTATATATCGTCTCAAGACTTACGTGTACGAATATGTTCGACCGGACCTATAAAATATTTCAAAGGATCACGTAAAAAATCACAAATTCTGCTAACCAAATTATTGAAAACTTAATTCTTCCTTTTTAACTTACAAGAAACAAAAGAACTTATTATCCCAGATGCAGCCCCAGCTAGATATAATTGTGACATTGTCAACATCCTTGATTGTCCATTCCTTTCATTCCTTTCATTAAATAGTCTTTGCATAGATCCAAAAACGAAAAATTGAATGGAAACGAATGTACCATATCCAACTAGAGGGGTTGTTGATCCCTATATATTCTATATCAATAATAGGATTTTAATATGCGAATATTAAAGAAACAAAGAAATTAAAACCTTATAAAATCCGCGTAATCCTTCTTTACTACTAGTTTGCCTGACACAATCTAATGTGCCATTATATGGTTGTGTTTGAAGTCTCTGTTTAAATATAATATATTATCTTGCATCCTTGAAAATACTGAACAATAATAATAGTTTATTCACACAAAAAGCTTACCACTTTGACTGTATCAAATGGCTAGAAAATAGAAAATAAATTAATGCTTATTAGTAAAATATGAAATAATAAAATATAAATTACCTGTCCAACAAACACTTGAACAATTCCACCAATGGTTCCGCTAAAAAAATCTTTAACACCTTTAATAAGCCCTCCTTGATTTGTTCCAGACATTTTTTAAGAACTAAGAGACGATTTGTTTGAATAAAATAAAAATTTTTTTTTGATCAATCTTGATCTAAATAATTTTATTCAAAATGTTGGTAACACACAACATATGTAATTAATAATACGAGTATATAAAAAGTAATGATATTTACATGGTGAATCATCAAATAACTATGTTGATATATGATATGATTGATATAACAAACCTATTTAAAAGAAAGATTAATAATCTAATATTAAAAATTAAGATCATCAAACATGCAGAATCAAGAAATAAGAAATAAATAGTTTTTGCACTGGGTCGCTTTTTTTTGAGGATCAGCACACTCATGTGACATTATTTTCGTCTTTTTCGTTTTAATTTTTATCTTTCAGTTTGTCAAGAACAGTTTATGGAAACATATATATGTGAGACACGTCTCGTCAAACTATCTTTCACAAACGAAAATCAAGGAAATTTCTCTACCTACTAATCTAACTTCTCTGAAAAGATCATTATTTGTATTTTACTGAAGCTAATTATTTATTGATTTTTACTCTCGTTTTTAACTCTCGGTGATATAGGGTCAAAATGCGTTTATTTTTTGTTGTTCTGGCTAAACCTCTTGGTCAATCGTCCGCAGTTCACATTACTGAAGAGAATAATACTATTGGTGTAAAACACATTCCATGAAAACGAACTCACCATTTTTGAACTCAAGAAATTGATATGGAAAGAGTTATACGGGGGTGAAGTAGGTTCTAACAGGGTTAATCAATGGACGCTATGGAAAGTCAAAGATCTTATCGAAGGAGACGAGAAGTGGAAGGCACTTGAAGATATTGAAGATAGTAATACCGAAACTTTCATTAAAAATGAGCTCAAAGGTAATTAGTTGACTCCAGCTATGGGTCTTAAAGAAGTTTTTTCCGCTGACACTCCGAAAGGTGTGATCCACATCCTCGTGCAACCTCCACCTTCCGCCACCACTGGTAAGTGTCTTACCTCTCGAACAAGAAATTTGGTGACATTGACTAACTAATTTCACTTCTTATTCACTTTCACTTTAACAGACGTGCCCAAAGTCAAGGGAATATCAAGACTAGGTATAAAAGCTATTGTCTTTAAATTCCATGTTCATGTTATTTTCTTATTTTGCATTGAATAGGAGGTCTTGGAGGAACAAATATGAAAAGAAAGGAAGATGGTTTATGCTACGAAGGTCTTGATCTTACTCACATTGAATGTCAGAGAAAGCCGACAATTAAGAGATTACTTGATGATCTGTTTGAGAAACGTATTATTCTAATTCGATCGCCACCAATGGCCGGTAAAACGTCACTTTCACAACTACTGGAATATAATATTCTTCAATCAGATGAAGCGAAGAAAGGATCTAGATGTGTATTTCACATTTCATTATTGTGGATGGTTAAATATGTAGACGAATGGACATTTGCAGAAGGATTCAAAACACTCATGAATATGAAATGGGATGAATTTATACAATTATGTAAACATAGTGATATTGAAGTAATTTTAATTGTTGATGAAATTCAACTGCTTTATAAGCCACATGATGAAAGTGAACCTCGTAATGGTGGAAGTATTTTTTGGAATACATTTAAAGAAGTAAATCAGTACTTGTCGAATTTTTATATTGTAGCATTTGCTTCTTACGGACACTACGGCGCTTACACTATTCATGGAGATCATTCAGTTATGGATATTTCGCCACCATCTATTCTTCATAAGAACAACGCATGGGGATTTGCAGATGTTCGTTTTACTAAAGAGGAGTTTGATGATTACTTTAATCAATTATGTGAAATGCGTCTTCGAATGTTAAAAAAAGATGACATTCCATTTCTTCGGAATTATGTACGTGAGATAACAGCTTATCATCCTGGAGTGGTTGCTTTCACCATGGATGAAATTAATAAAAGATTTTCCAACGGTCTTCTGAGCTGGAATTTGGTGATGTTTTTGCCTATCTCAAAACTTATGATTTTTATTCTCATCTTAAGGTAAAATAAAAATTTTTGTAATAATTCTAAGTGGCCAGATAATACTGACAATTTATATATGATGTATTCAGGAGATTCGCGCTACTCCGCGAGTTAATGATATGTCAAACGAATAGAAGGGAATTATTGATAAAGTGCTTTTTAAAAAAGAAGGTCTTAAAATTCAAACAAACAGAATTCCACACAATGGTCGTATTATCAAGACAAATGTTCTTGTTGATATTGGAAGGAAAGTAGGTTGTTCAACTCTTGATTTTCCTGCACCATTGCTTAGAGCTATGTATCTTCAAGATCGTTTTAGTTATGTGATACGATCTGAATTACCACCTAAATCATTCAAAGAATTTATCAAATCAGTTTATGCGATTATGAACCCAAAGGTATTGCAGAATAGCAAAGGTAAAGGTAAGGATGGCCGGCTTTTTGAACGTGTATGGCAGATGGAATTCTACCGTGCATCATTACAAGTTCTTCCTGAAGACATATATCCTTCCGTTGATGTTGGAAAAGCATTTGGATCAAAGGGATATGTGGATTTTTATGTAAATGATAAGTGTAATTGGGCTATTGAACTATTGAGATGGAGTAAAGTTAAATGAGCATCAACAGAGATTTCACATATATGTTCCTATTCTTAGACACACAAAACAGTGGGCGATTATTGATATTCGGGATGGTAATATGAAAGCTTCAGAGTCAGAGAAACGTGAAAGAAATGATATTTATGTTATTTGTGCCGAAAATTTTGAAACTGTTCAGTTGGTGTATCCTAATGGAGATGAAGAGGATATTTGGTTACTAGGCAAAGAAAATTTGCTTGGATATGATTCATCAGAATTTTTAGACGATCAAGATGATCAAATGGAAATAATGGAAATTGATTACTAATAAATACTATTTGATCATTCGGTTATAATCAAAACCTTTAATTATAGAATCTTCTGATCTTTGCATTTTATCCAAATATGTTTAATAAAATAAAAAAAATCAAATTTATATGAGCTAGAATTATTACATTGCAAATTTTTTTGTTTAAGCGTACACAAAATTAATGCTGAAAAATTGGTATTTGTTTTATTGAAGTGGAAG